CTGATTCTTTTCTCGGGTACTCTATAAAAAATCAATTACCCCCTATTAGTTTAAAAAATAATAAAAATACCTTAAAAGTTTATAAATACACCCCTAATAAATTTTGATTACTCATTCATTTATGTTCAATGTGACTCATTAATTCTATAATCTCTCAGCAAAACTTGAATTCAATCAATTCATCATAATTCACATAAAATTCCTCAGTCAAAACCAAAACACAAATAATTAATTAAACAATCATACTATAAATCTATAATTTAATATTATAATTAATTAAATTTCTAATCATTTAATTAATTGTGCTAATTTTTATAACAGAATATTATAACTAATTAAGTAATCATACTATAATGTAATGTTATAATTAATTAAATTTTCAATCATTTAATTAAGTAGTATACTAATGTAGTAAATTACTAATGTTTATATTGTAATGTTATAAATTTATAATTAATTAAATAATCATTTTACTATATGATGTTATAATTAATTAAGTGATTATAATATAATGTAATGTTATTATTAATTAAGTAATTATTTAATTATAGTATAATATTTTAATTAATTAAATTTTTAATTATTTAATTAAGTATTGTAATAATGTTTATAATCGAATGTAATAATTAATTAAGTAATCATTTAATTAAGTTATCATACTATAAATTTATAATGTAATGTTATAATTAATTAAATTTCTAATCATTTAATTAGGTATTGTGCTAACGTAGTGTGTTTATAATATAATATCATAATTAATTAAGTAATCATTTCATTATGTAATGTTATAATTAATTACATGATCATCCTGTTATAATGAATTAAGTAATCATACTATAAATATTTAATATAATATTATAATTAATTAAATTTCTAATAATTTAATTAAGCATTGTACTAATGTTTATAATGGAATGTTATAATTAATTAAGTAATCATTTGTTTATAACGTAATGTTATAATTAATTAAGTAATCATACTATAAATTTATAATGTAATGTTATAATTAATTAAATTTAAAATCATTTAATTAAGTATTGTGCTAATGTAGTAATTAATTACTAATGTTTATATTATAGTGTCATAATTAATTAAATAATCATTTAATTTTGTAATATTATAATTAATTATGTGATCATACTATAATGTAATGTTATAATGAATTAAGTAATCATATTATAAATCTTTAATGTAATATTATAATTAATTAAATTTTTAATGATTTAATTAAGTATTGTATTAATGTTTATAATAGAATGTTATAATTAATTAAGTAATTATTTAATTAAGTAATAATTTGTTTATAATGTAATGTTATAATTAATTAAATATTATACTATAAATCTATAATGTAATGTTATAATTAAATAAATTTCTAATTATTTAATTAAGTAATGTACTAAATTACTAATATAATATTATAAACTTATAATTAATTAAGTAATCATTTAATTATAATGTAATGTTATAATTGATTAAGTAATCATTTAACTAATAATGTATTAATGTTTATCAATTTATTTTATATAATTAATTAATTACTAATTTATTACAGATATACTTAGAATTTGATAATTGAAGTAAATAAATAAATATTATATTATTATTCAAACAAATATACTATTTTTTTCAAAAATAATTCTTTTAATAACATTAAATACTTTTAATTGGTCTTAATTCTAATTATACACTTAATTAATCAAAACTTTAGTTTTAATATATTATAATATATTAAAGTTTTTTATATGGTGTAGTTTATATGTAATAAGTATAATTGTATATTTATTTAATTAGGTTATTGTAAAAATTTAACTTTTTCCATTTTAATTTTTTTATATGTAAAATTACAATAGACCCCCAATTCTTCACAGATATTTCATTTCAACCTAGGATCCAAAATAGGGTACCCGCTACAGGTTCCAAGCCGGGTACCCGCTGCAAGTTCTTTTTTCCAGGTTTCGGTTCCAAAAAAATGGAACCGGAACCTACCAGCACAGTGTCGGTTCTAGGTAGATTCCGATTCTACTTGAAGGTTCCGGTTCTATCCACTACCTATGCTAACCCCTACTTAATTGGACCATTTTTTTTTTTTTTTTTTTTTTTTTTTTTTTTTTGTGTTGTGGAAAAAAACTAGTTTGGATTACAAGACTGAAATATATGTAGTGTTGTTTTATGTTTGGTAGAATTGAGACCTTCCATACTAAAAAAAATAATTAAAATAGTTTAGAACTAACTTAACATTTATTTTTAATTATTAAATACTCTATAACATTTATAATAATGAGTAAATAAATTAGATAATTAGTTATAATTATGTATATTAAATTAAAGTACTTATATTTATGTTAAGAATTAAAATTAAATTTTTTATTTTATAATGATTCCTATTATATTAATAATTAGGGACTAAATAAGGAGAATGACACAAATTTTAGTGTGGTTCCATTCTTAAAAAACAAATAAAAAAGGCTGAACTAATGTTAGAGACACTCTTAAATGTATTATTTAAGAGATCTTGAATTTGACTCCCTCTTTGGTTGCTAATAGGGATAGCCATGGGAGCTCTTATCCGGTTCGATAATTTCAGAGCTCTAAGAGATTAGTTGAAGTGCACGTAAGCTAGTCTAAATATTCCTAATAAATTAAAAAAAAAAAAAATTAGAGACATAATGCTGCCCACGCTATTGTCCCAACCCCATTAATCATGCCCTGATCAGAAATTTATTAATTTCTAAACCACAAATTGATAAGAACAGACAGGGCAGCCATTATTCAATTAATGCATTCACAAGTTTTCCGACAAATGCAATGTTAACCAGTAACCACGAACTCATCTAGATTCTGAGAATTGCAATGTTAACTAATGGAATTCATTACCACTGAAGAGAGCAACAAGCAAATTTGTTTTCATCAAATTGAATTGTCAAAGCTAGCTTTGTACCTGGAAGTAAATTAACACCACGATTCATCAAGCACACAGAGAACCGACTATTTAATATAAGCAATCAATATAAGTTAATGAAGTAATTCTATACACAATCAAGTCGCTTTTGTCGATTGCAACAATCAATATAAGCACTGCCCTATTGCTTTTATCTTCTTTCAATTTTTTTTTTTTTAATCATCGGGGGTATCCGAACCAGCTTACGTGCACACCTCAACTAATCTTTTGGGATCCTGAAACTACTTTCCGAGTAAGAGTTCCAGTGACTACTTATATTAACATCTATTCATCTAAAGTGGGACTTGAATTCAGGACTTCTTGATTGATACATCCAAAAGTCTTTATCGAACCGTTTAACTACCTAGATGTAATTTAAATCAAACATNTATCCGGACCAGCTTATGTGCACACCTCAACTAATCTCTCAGGATCTTGAAACTACTTTCCGAGTAAGAGCTCCAATGACTACTTATATTAACATCTATTCATCTAAGCAGAGATTCGAATTCAGGACCTCTTGATTGATACACCCAAAAGTCTCTATTGAACCGCTCGACTATTCAGATGTAATTTAAATCAAACATTCATTAACTGGTAGATAGAGCACCCCCTGAAATTCAATGAAAAGGAATTATAATTGTAATGAAATTAATAAGTTAAATTGGTAACTTATAAAATAACAAGTTATTATGAGAGGTAAAGTTTATCATGTCTTTCCAGGATCTATTATATCTTTGTTTCTCTAGTTTAAATAAATTTTCTCGTGAATTAAAAATAAATAAATAAATAAAAACTGTGAGAAAACTCAACTCCATGACTCCATCTTTCACAATGTGAAAACAGAAGCTTGGTTTTTCTTATAACTATACGGCACATGCATTAACCTCGAAACTAGACAGCGCCGCGTGCATTTAGAAGAAAAGAAATTTGGTTTCTATTGTTTGATTAGCATATGAAATTAAAGAAATTTGTTTTCTCTTCGTTTACATCTAAAAATTAGATGTTTTCGGAATTGACCTACCGATGGGTCAGCTGCTGTAACTGTTTGTCAGCCATTGAACCTTCTAGTCCAGCCAAAATGCTCATTTCGTTTTTGCATTAATTTACTTTGTTTCAATTATTGGCTCAAACAAAGTAGCTATTTTTTTAGCAAAAAATTAAAGGCGCTCAAGAAAAGTCTATCCAGATGAAAAGTTTCTTTTAACACAAAATTAAAGAGTTAACAAATTTTTCTCTCCCAAATGATGATTTAATGATACTTTTTTATCTATATATTTTTGTAATACTATTTTATTACTTAAATTTAGATTTCGGTGGTGAACAAGAAGCAAATTTGATTCAAACTATTGAGGTTTTTAAAGAGAGGAGACTGATGAGTATTTTGGTGGTTAAAATTAATCAAAATTTGACTTGAAAGAGAAGGCTGTATAAACCTTAATTATTCGATTGCTGACAATTGGTGAAATCGACGAGAGTAGGATTTGAAATGTTTTAGTTAGTGATAATCAGAGAAAAAAATAGCGATAATGTAGGATAGTAATAATTTTAAAATAAAAAATAGAATATAAATTTAGATAATAAAATAATATTTTAAATACTTATTATATAAATATTGTGTATGCTCCGAGTTTAGAAGAAATAAAATATGACAGCCATACGGACAAACGTTATTATTACCTAATAGTCGACTATCAACAATTAATGTTAGCTAGCATTAAATGCCAAAAAGCTGAAGATTCACCGTTTACCTAATTATCAATGTTGGTCTTAACTTAATAGAGATTAATTGCAATTGAATTGGGGTGGTATGATTAACATCAAATATGCAAGAAATTAAGTGACTGACATCAGTGCTGAGTCAGATAATTATGTAAGATAGGGAGCTAGAACATTCAGTTGATGGTTGCACTCATTTGGCCTCTACTTAATTTACTTATACAATTTGACTTGGCTAACTCTAAACAAACTTTCATATACAAAGTTAGCTAGCTAACAGTCATATCTTCCATGAAACCCTTTGAATATGAGCTTCCTATGATATATATTGCATTCTTCCCTTCCATGTCTTACCATTCCAACTAATCACAATCATTTTTCTTCTCATAATCTCAATCTTCACATTTCTTCCTCTATTTTCTTTCTAGGTAATTAATCTATTAAACCGAGAAATCTACAGAGAAGAATAGCAATGGGTTCTGAATCTCTTGTTCATGTCCTTCTTGTTTCCTTCCCTGGCCAAGGCCATGTAAACCCTCTTCTTCGACTCGGCAAACGCCTCGCCTCTAAAGGTTTGTTAGTCACCTTCACCACTCCTGATAGCATTGGCAAACAAATGAAGAAAGCGAGCAATCTCACTGACGAGCCCACCCCAGTCGGAGATGGCTTCATTCGGTTCGAATTCTTCGAAGATGGTTGGGACGAGGACGAGCCAAGGCGACAGGACCTTGACCAATACCTGCCCCAACTCGAGTTCGTAGGCAAAGAATTGATTCCTCGTATGATCCAGAAAAACGCTGAACAAAACCGTCCCGTTTCTTGCCTAATCAACAACCCTTTCATTCCTTGGGTGTCAGATGTTGCGGACAGTCTAGGCCTTCCTTCCGCAATGCTTTGGGTCCAATCTTGTGCTTGTTTTGCCGCTTATTACCATTACTATCACGGGTTGGTCCCATTCCCAGATGAAAAAAACCCTGAAATTGATGTTCAGTTGCCGTGTATGCCACTCCTCAAGTATGACGAAGTGCCTAGTTTTCTGCATCCAACAACTCCTTATCCTTTCTTGAGGAGGGCCATTCTTGGTCAGTACAGAAACCTCGACAAGCCTTTTTGCATTTTGATGGACACTTTTCAGGAGCTCGAGCACGACATCATCGAATACATGTCGAGAATTTCCCCAATCAAGACTGTTGGCCCGCTGTTCAAGAACCCCAAGGCCCCATCCTCAACCGTCCGTGGTGACTTCATGAAGGCTGATGACTGCATAGAATGGCTCGACACAAAACCAGCCTCATCTGTCGTTTACATCTCTTTTGGTAGTGTGGTTTACTTGAAGCAAGAACAAGTGGACGAAATTGCTCACGGTTTGTTGAACTCTGGCGTTTCGTTTTTGTGGGTGATGAAGCCACCGCACAAGGATGCCGGCCTCGAACTCCTTGTTCTTCCTGATGGGTTCTTGGAGAAAGTTGGAGACAACGGCAGGGTGGTGCAATGGAGTCCACAAGAGAAAGTGTTGGCTCACCCGAGTGTTGCTTGCTTTGTAACACACTGCGGCTGGAACTCGACAATGGAGTCGTTAACATCAGGCATGCCGGTTGTGGCTTTCCCGCAATGGGGCGATCAAGTCACTGATGCTGTGTACTTAGTGGACGTGTTTAAGACTGGAATCAGAATGTGCCGTGGAGAGGCTGAAAACAGGATAATCCCTCGAGAGGAGATTGAGAAATGCTTGCTGGAGGCGACTTCTGGGCCTAAAGCGGCGGAGATGAAGCAAAACGCGTTGAAGTGGAAGAAGGCAGCAGAGGAAGCAGTGGCAGAAGGCGGCTCCTCCGACAGGAACATTCAGGCCTTTGTAGATGAGGTGAGAAGAAGGAGTGTTGAAATTACCAGCAATTCAAAGGCCGTGAAGGCAATATCCATCAATGGAGGAGTTTCAGAGTTAGTTGAGAAGGCGGAAAATGGGAAGGTAGAGTTGGCGGAGAAGGCGGAAGCCAATGGGAAAGTAGAAATGGTGGAGTCATAAGAAATAAGAGACAGGTGGCGAGTGATGATTGGGTGGTGGGGAAATGAATAAATTTCATGAAACTCTCTTCATGAGCTCTATTATGTAATGTTGTTTACATATATCGTTGCTGGCTTTCAAGATTGTACTGCCTTTTTGTTTGGTTATATTTCACTACATGTTGTAACTGGTTATTTTTCCTTTTTCTTTTCAATCTTTATTTTATTTTCTTTTCATTGTAGTGATTAATGAAGAGGAGGGAATAAGTATGCAGTATTTTACTTCATTACGGGAAGTGGAGCCTTTTATGGACACCCTTGAATTTTAGTGGAGAAATTTACTCTGTATTTTAACGATGTTTGTAAAAAGTAATTATTATAAGAGTAAAATAAATGACTAAAAAAAAAAAAAAAAAAAAATCTCAAATATCGTATGAATTATCAAAATTTAATATTGTAATTATTTAATAATTCGATCATATGAAAAATATTACATATTCTTAAAAGATAAAATAAGAGTATATAATTCATTGTACCAAGATTCTATGTTTTATACTGAAACCTATGAGCCTTTTTTTTTTGCTTGCACAAAACCGCATGATATGTTTATATAAAAGAATATAAAAGAGTAATACTACATTTACACCATCCATTACACTATTTTCATTATACCATGACGTGGCATATCCCATATCCACACAAATTTTTAATTATTTTTAATTTTTAATATTATAATAAAATAATTATTAGTAAAATGGTGATGGTGTAATGAAAATGATGTAATGGGTGGTGTAAATGTGACATTACTCTATATAAAAAAACCTTGGGGAAGTGCTGCACTTATATTAAATAAAAGGGAACTTGATATTAGTATAATAAGTTAACCTTTTTTAAATTTTAAGTTGAGCGTTAAGTTTTAATAATAATTTGTATTATTAATTAAAGATAAAGCTTTTAATCAAATCTAGGTGTCTAATATTTTAATAGTTTACTAAATAGACTATATATTCTTAATTAAGTCTTATAGGAAACAATAAAATTGTGTATAATTTTTAAAGAAAATGATCTTTTTATTTTATCATTTATAGATATATATGTAATTATATTTTGTTAAGAAAATCAAGAAAGTTTGTTCATTTTACTAATTTTTTAGTTTTAAATGATCTTGACACCACTTAACTTATTTTAGAATATTAGATTTATAAGATGTTTAATAGGTTTTGAGGATTAGTTGAGGCATAATTAAACTGTCCGGACGTCTCGTCTTTTAAAAAATATATATATATTCAAAGGGTGGTTGGTCTAAATTCTAATACGGTATGTTTGTTAGTCAGTATAGTACTGTATGAGATAGGGGAAAGTATTGAAAAGATTTTGCCTATGATTGGAAGCTCCAGCACAATTTGACCTCAGCGGTGAAAACAATGCACTGCTATGTGCATTCTATTATAATAGTATATAATATTTAACTTAATTATTCTTATTTAAATTAGTTTAAAGATTAATTTCAACTTATTAATATTCTACATAATTTTGTCCAGCATAATATTATATATAATAATATAATATAACTCAATCATTCACTACAGTCCAGTATGACATAAATGCACCCACATTATTGGTCATTGATTAGATGATTGAACTTTAGAGTATGCTTAGAAAAAATCTGAATGATATTTGTTGGTTTGAATATTATGGGACCATAGAATTTCTCTCATGCATTTTTTAATGTTGCACGAGAAAGTTCGAGAAGTGAATTAGAAAAATAATTTTAAGAAATAAGAATAATAACGATGAGCAGGGAGAAAAAGGAAGGTGAAAGTTTCGATCAGTTACCCTGCACGCGCTACCTAATGGCAAAAAACATTCAACCATCAAGCTCTTATCTGTAAGTCAATCTGTCTCATCATCATTACATTTTACAACAAAACAACAAAATTTATGGCTCTAAATGATTCACCTGATTACGGAAATAATAATTACCAGAGAGAAAAAGGAAGGTAGATAAGTTTCTATTGCGTAATAAAAAATTCTGAGAAATTGTGGTTGAAAAATATACAAAGAAATTTTGATAATATTACCAAAATATTCTGCGTACCATGAAACACAGTTTGTGAATCATCAATTGTCACTGATGCAATGCCGTCTAAGAGTGAGATATTATCGACGTAATAAATAATCTAATAAAACCTTAAACCATTCATCTTATCAAAAGTTTAGACAAAAAAGTAATTTTACTTCTTATATTATATATTAATACACCTTACGTTAAACAAAAAAGGCAAAAGTGGATCCCATCTCTGAACCACAGTGACCAAAGTGCTTATGACAAATTATGGCCAGCCATTCAAAGACTTCGGTCTTCTTCTCCTTACAGAATGTTGTCAGGGCCAAAAATGTCTTTGGCCCAAATAGACCAAAAGACGATGACACATTCAAAAAAGTTCAGAATTGTGACCCAATTTTGATTGAGCCTACAACTAAGTCTATATATCGGGTCTGCTCGGTACACCTAGCATGTTGCTCACTACTCGAGCCTAATCAGCAAAACTCGATTTGCTTAGGCCTCGTCACTGGCTTATCTGGGCCTAGGCCCTTTGATCCTATACCAGCTACTGAACTTAGGATCTACTTGGAGCCCAGGGTGCCTACTTATTCCAAGACTATCCGAACTCTATCGAAGAGGTCCATCACTATCCTAATTCGTCTAAGATCCGTGCCTTAGACCCGTTAGGACTCCTTTTCCCACTAAGGTAAGAGAGCCAAAGGTTCTCCTTTTTTCACAAAACCTCAACTCCGAGGACTCAAAGTCCTACTAGGGCCCGAAAAATCCTACAATCGCTATTTAAACAGAGGCTAACCCTCTCACAAGGACATACATTACACCTTCAGACCCCGTAGTTCTCAGTTTTGAGAACTTCGAATCACAGCCATAGTTATAGTCTCCGACTAGACTTCTGGTAACCTTCTCTCTCCTTAACCCTCACTAAATTAGCCTTACTTGGCCTTGCTGACTTGAGCGTCAGAGTGCCTACGACAAACACCACCCCGGTGTTTTCTGTTTGCTTCACACTTATTTTCTTGCATGTGTAGGTACAACGGATTGCTGGTAGCCTCAATCTCACGGGATCAGACCTTATTTCCGTAAAGGTAGATTTTTTGCATTTACAGTTTGGAGCTCACCGTGGGCCTCTAGCAATCATTCATCTTTCAAACCCTATTTCACAAGGAAACTCTATATGGCTGAAAATTCAGATAACACCAATCTTGGCCTCGAGGTCAGACTCAAAGCTCTGACTGCCCTTATGCAACAACACTCAGACAAGGTGGCAGCACTGGAAGCTGAGAACGCCGTCATCCAGGCTGAAAACCAGTCTTTTAAAGAGAAGGTAAGTCAATTTTATGACCTTGAGCTTCAGCCTTGTCAAGTATAACCTAATCGTTTTCACGCATCAGTTCTGTCCATGCAGCCTTTCCAGACTCCAGATCACAGACCAACGGTCTCGATACAAGATTGTGACAACTCTATTCATCGCTAGTGGACGAGTCAGCCCAGAATCCAATTGAGCGAGGACTGCCCATAAAGCCACTCTCGATCGACCCACTTAAGGCACGAGATCAAGACATCCAAGTAACGGAAAGCCCATCACAACAAGAGCCACCCATCCTTGCCATCTCATCTCATCTCTAATCAACCATTCCTACCCAAACTTCACTCAGCTCGACTCATCCTTACGAGTCGAGTAGACTCCCTCACCTTCAATCTATCCCACTCGAGTCCATCCATTGCCACAGACCGAGCGACTCCCAAATAACCCCTTCACCATCCATGCGGGTCGAAACACCCGATTAGTCACAATGGGAACCACCTAACTTGAGGGAATGAATGGAGATCCGAGTTACCAAGCGGCACATAATGGAATGGTTCGCCAAACTACCCCATGTGACTTGACCCAATGAAACGTACCGAGTGCAAATCACTTGACAAACCAAGCCAACCAGGCTGACCTGGTGGCCTCCGCCTTGCCCATGGAGCAAATATTGGCCAAAAGATTGGCCGATGTTAGACCGGTCGTCACGGTCACAAAATTAAACCTAAGTACCGTAGTTAGCAGTAAGCAAGGTCGAATCCACAGAGAGCAAGACTAACGACCTAATGTATATTTGAGTTAACGAAAGAGAAATTGGCAAAATGATTGATTAAAACTAAGGAAACTAATTACTTGCAGGAAATTAAAAGCATTAAATAAATTGCTAACTAAAACACAATATTAAAAGCGTTGTCGCTACGGGTTAGGTTTGACTCAAGACCAACTCTCACAATTCCTCTCCTCGCTCTTCAATTTCCTAATACTACAAGGCTAGGCAAATCAATAGAAATATCTCCCGGCAATCTAGGCATAATCTATCCTGTCTCCCCGTCGTCTTAGTTACAGATCGATTGGTTAAAGACTATCATTGACTAACCGAAAAATGCTAAACCCTTAAACACCACTAGTTGGTACAACGTTAACAAGTACAACCTATCAACCTGTATCATCCAATCAACTAATTACACAATAAATGCATTCCTAGTAGAAATGAAATTAAACGCTACTACAACTTGATTGCAATCAGTATCGAAGCAATTTAAAGTCATAATCAACATTCAATAATCTCAAACCGACATTCAATTATGCGAAAAGTTATATATCAATAAACGTTCTCAATGGACATTATCAATTCAACACATCGAGCATCAGAATAATATTAAAGTATCACAAACAAACTGAAACGAAAACAAATATAATCTGAATACAAGAAACTTAACCAAATATCCAACATTCGGGCTCATCCAACTAGTCGAGAACTGATAAGGAAATCAATGGAGTCAATCTCGATCTCGCCTACACCGTAACAGACAACCGGGAACTCAGCAGCTCATGATGGTGATGACGGAGGCTGAAACGGAGCTAATCATGGCGAAAAGGAGGTAACCGACAGCGATATGATGCGAAGAAGGGCCAAAAACAACCAACGGACAGCCCGGAATACGAACAGCAGCACTCGCCAGAAAACGTTAATTTTCCGACGAGTCTTCCGAAAAACGGTGACGGAAATGGGATCCGAAGGTACCGATGGAAAGCTCTGGTGATGGGGAGTTCAGATCAGGTCATGGGGAGGTGAGAAGTCGTCGGAAATGAGCAGGATCTGGGCTGGAAGATAAAGAGGCGCGACGGCAAAATCGCGGATTCTGGTGGTTTTCGCGGCGGCTGAAGCAAGGGAAGTGTAGATCCGGCCGTGGGGAATGAAGATG